TGTTTGAACTTCTCCTACGACTGGGTGACCCCATGTTGCTGACTTGGTGTATGTTGCCCCCAGTAGGAGCATTATCAATACCAGCTGGTTTGTTTTGTACAAATCGACCAAGATATCCCTGTTTAATTAACCTTTCAATCTCTTCCTTGAGCTGCTTACATGCTTCAGTGGAGTGGCCACGACTTTCATGAAAATGACAGTATTGTTCCTGATTCACCGAGTTAGGGTTTAGGGCGTGGGGCCACTTAACGACTTGCTCATCTTTGATACTTTGATAGCCTTTGATAGCCATTAAGATGTTAGCACGTGATGTGCTGAGTGGTATATACTCTTTCTTAGGTCGATATTCAGTTCGTTGGCCTGCGGGTTGAGGAAGGATGTCACAGTTCCTCTGTTGTTCAGACTTTCTCTGTTGCAAAGATTGCAAAGATTGATTATTATCTCTATCTCTAGTGTTACCTTCGCGCTTTCCCCCAAATTTCTCAAATTGTTTCTTATGTACACTGATGGCCTCGTCTGCAGTGATTTGGGCCTCAACACGGTGGATAAGGTTGGCATAAGAACGAACTGTCTCTCGCATTGTGATGAGTAGAAGGGTCATGGGTGAAGCCCCCCAAGGAAAACCTCCTAAATAACTCTGGATCTACTCCTGGAATTTGACGGGCTTCAGTAGAAAACCTGCGAAAGTAGTCTTTGAGTGACTTTCCTTCACTTTGAAAAATTCCCGAGATATGGGATGAATCCTTGATGATCATTCAATTTGCGATGAACCGCTCCGCGAAAAGTTTGGCAAGCTCGTTAAAGGTGTTTATAGTGCCCCAAGGTAGAGAGTAGAACCAAGTTCGAGCTTGTCCTTTAAGTACTTGACACATAAGCACATCAGAGACATGCTGAATATGCATGATAGTTTGATAATGATCAATATGCTCGTAATGGTCGGTTGTCCCTTCATATGTATCGATGCTCGGAAGCTTAAAACCTGTTGGGATGGGGTGTTGGAGGACCGCATCCGCTAAGGGAGAAGATTCATGGATGTTATGGTGAGCGTAGAAGCGATCCTTTTTCTCTAAGGGGAACTCTTCTCGGACAAGGTGTCAGAGGCGTCGTAGTTCAATGCGAATGACGTTATCTGGAATGGCGGGAAGATGTGGCGATGTCGGGTGAGCTGCACAAGATAGATAGATGAGTGGAACTTGTTGTATCTAGGAGTTCAGTATCATGACCTGACAGGGGATGTGTTCCTTCTTGAGGAGGTGGGTCAGCAAGAGTTCCTCTGAGCAGTTGTTCCTCCAAGTGGTATGTTTCTCGTACGTCGCGGAGTTAATGGTAAACGAGTTTCATCCAATGGTGTAGGCAGCGGTTGTTGAGCCCTGCGTAGGAGCTGTAGGATCTCTAGTTGAGACTCCCCCATTCTACGCATTTGATCTTCTATTGAAGGACCCGAAACACATTCATTGGTGGGATAGCGTCTTCCTGCGTAGGAGATAATGCTCCCTGGAACAATGGTGTTGGAGCGGGATGCTCCATTGTCATGAACATTGTGGCTGGTGGCCATGTAGTAGACTGCGTAAGTACTTTAGTTGTGTGATTGACACTTTCCCACAGACAGCGCCAAACTGATGCGTGCTAGAAAATTCGTGGTGGTAGAGTAATGCATTATCGTCTTAGCATTGCAGGAGGATTCAACATACACTTAGATGGAAATGAATCAAGCTGTGATAACACCAAAATTTTTTATGTGGAAAACCCATTAAGGGGAAAAACCACGGGGCCTGGACCAGTTGTAAAAATCCACTATAAGTTGATGATTACAGATGCACCTGTCCCAAAGGCGGGAAAGGGTTACTAGCTTTCCAAATTACAAAGTCACAAAGTCAACTGACGGCGTCTAGTCAGCGGTGGTTGACGGAGGTCGGCGGTGATCGACGACAGTTGATGATAATCGATGTCGGTCAGTGGTGGTTGACGAAGGTCAGCGGTAGCTGAAGACAGTCGATGACGGTTGGCGGTGGTCGACGGAGGTCAGCGCTGGCTGAAGACAGTCGATGACGGTCGGCGATGGTCGACGGAGGTCAGCGGTGATCGATGAAGGTCAGCAGTGGTTGTCGACGGCCAGTGGTGGTCGACGAAGATCGATGATGATGAGGATGATCTTGGACTTGAGCTTCTTCTCAAATCCTCAAGTTCTCTCTTAAGTCTCCTCCCTCATGTGAGGGGTGAGACTCTGAGAGGGATAAGACTCTATTTATAGTATTCTATGTGCAATTAATACAAGAATATGAACCATTTTGATCTGACGGTCTAGAGAGTTTACTTCGATCATACTTGATCAGATGATGTTTGATGGTTTGATGGACATTTGAGTGCTTTAACGATGTCAAAATTGAGCAATCTTGGACTCGTTTGTTTCGTCTTGTCGAAACGCTCGATTCGACTATAAATTCGCTAGATTCGACATTCGTTTTATCTTTCAAATGCCTCCGGAAATCCTCTAAGAGTAGTTTAATGATTTGATCTGAGCTCGATTTGACTCGGATTGGATTGACTTTCATATTATTAGGTCCGTCTCATCGAGCCGATCAGTTTGACTATAAGTTTGCCGAAATCAAAGCTCGGGATGACTCTTAATCGAAGTTTGATTGTTTCTTATTCAAAAAATTGCATCTAGATTCGTGCCGGATGATGAAAATTTGTTGGTGGCGTATCAAAACTATTAAGTATAATTTTAGTATATTGTTTAAATTTCTTCTTGAAATGTGTTATTGAAGATATGGGTTTTAACATAATTAAGGTTATAGATAAATGTAATGAAAATTAATGATATATAGTTGTTTTAGCCTTAAAAGCTATGAGTATGAGCTTAAATTTGAATTTGTCACTCTTAACCTTTTGTTCTTGGCTTGCTGGCCAACACGTAACCATGGAAAGCTGTGATCATGAAGGTATGGTGCATGATGCTGTTAGAATTATCATATTTATAATGAAAAAATCTATATGCATAGCTCATTTGAAAAAAAAAAATATTAAAAATGATTAAATATATATATTTTTGAGTCCTATATCTATGCTCCTTTTGTCATAATGTAAACTCATAAGGCTTGATCATCCTTTAACAAGTTTTTTAATATAATTTCACTTAAAATGACACTTTTTTTTAGGGCGACATTTCTGAATCGGATTTGTTATATGGGTGACACATATATACAGTTAACCAATGTTATAACAGAGTTGATAGTATGTATTATGAAGGAAACATCTCCTTGAATGATAATAAGTATATCATGAAACACATATATTTGACAAATCCTACACAGGTCGTCAATATGTTATAGATGTGCTAGTTAATCATCTAACGAGATCATATAATTTATTTAGACTTCCAAGAGAGGCTTTTATACATACAATGAACTTATTACTTGACCGAGGACAATTAGTTGATGCTAAGAATATAAATGTTGCAGAGCAATTAAGAATTTTTCATAGATGTTGACACATGCTTATAACTACAAACAACTTCATGAATTTTTATAGCACTTGTTAAAAACAATAAGTAGATACCTGAATATTGTGTTACAAGTGATTACATCACTATCTAAATAGTTCGTTAAGTGGTCCCAACTAGAAGCGAACTGTCATATTGACAATTACATAGTTTTATCCTTATTTTCAAAATACTATCAGAGTAATTGATAGAACTTATATCCCAACATTGGTAAACAAGCAAACACAAAATGGGTATCGTAATAGATAATGATTTGTAACAAAATGTGATTATTGCAGTTTACATTTATAACACCTAAGTCTTAATTTTGCTCCAATTCATTTTTATATATTTACATGTCTAACACATAAACTTTACTATTCATATTTTTAACCCTCAAATCTTTCACATCACATCAAAATTATCATTATTTTAACTTTCCGTTGTGATGGAATCCCATTTAACATTGTGTAGCTTCTGTAGCTCTCTCATCTACTTCAACCTGAGAAAGAGAGAAGCTTAGCATTTCCTTTTTTTTTTCATCCTTTGATTGTAATATTATGTTTTTCATTCTTTTATGCTGCTGCAGAGTGAATAAATCAAAACTTCGTCGACTTTTATTTTCTATTTTTCAATCATTCTCTTGCTATGTGGTTGGATGATTGGAAAAAAAATATCTTTTTTAGTTGATGTTTGACATCCCAATTGTGTTCTATGAAAAAAATCTTACTTTTCTGAGAATATATTCATTACATGTCATTTTACCGTTTCATTGTTGCTTTATCTTGTTTACAATATATCAATGAATAAATCTTAGATAGTACGTTTATCTATATAAAAATTTCATTCAAATAACAATGACATGTATCATATGCATCAAATTTGGTTCAATTTTAAATTTCGGAAATAATACAATGCTAACTAAGATGACTAATGGCGACTATAGTACTTTTTTTTTTCTTTTCCCAATTGATTTTTAGGTGCCAAAATTTTTACTAATGTTGTTGGAGCCAATGTGGAAAAATATCTCCATCTCGAATGAGAATGTTGGTTATGTGACTATTAGGAATGAATCATAACATTAGGAGATGTTCGTGTAAATATCTCCATCTCAAATGAGAATGTTGGTTATGTGACTATTAGGAATGAATCATAACATTAGGAGATGTTCGTGCTCGATGATTTTGACATTTATGTGCATGAGATTGATGATGTTTTATATTTAAGTGCTATGTTTATGAATCCCCCAATTTTGCGACTAACTTATAGCCTCCAAGCTTAGGAAATCGTCAAAATTAGGGGTGCCAATTCGGGTCAATGGGTCAGATTTGGATTCGACCGAAAATGGTTTGACCAAATATGATCAACCCGTATCCTACCCGATTAATAAATATTTTGAAAACTAAGACCCTAACTCAATCAGAACTGAGTTTGACACGCTAACCCAAATCCGACTCAAAATTTTGAGTTTATTCATGTCATATTTGATTTTCAAGTTCAACACAAGCCGGATCGGAATGTCGAATTCGAAAATCTCTGGGTTGACCTCTCCCCCCATTGCTGAATCTGATAAACCTGATTAGGTTCGCCCGCCGCCTGTGCTTCAGCTGACACTGCTGGCAATGGTTACCAGCGATTCTTAGATCTTTGAATGTTAGATCGGGAGCATTACATGATTGTTTTTTCGCGCTCATCTCGCAACGATCGGGTCATGTCGATCTGTGGAGGATATTTGTACCGCAAGATGAAATCACCTATTTCCTATACCTTATTAAGGTAGTTTGTTTTTCGCAAATGATTACTCTTTGATTCTTATTAAGATGAAATCACCTATTTCCTATACTCCTCCCACCCTGAGTTTGAAGTTCTACTCTTTCATTTCTCACAATATCTCTTCTCATGCTAATCTGTGTAATGTCATGTGATGGTCTCACAATCATTTTGTTATTTTGATGCTTTTATCGACGAATTGTGTTTATAATTATGGATCGTACATCATGCCGTTCACAATGAAAGACAAAAAAAAAAGAAGTTTTCCGATATTTTAGAAGGATTACAGTTCATGTTTGTGCTTTGCTAAATAAATAGTGTTAATTGTTTATGCTGAAGAAATGAAATGCTATATATTTTTTTTAATTTGGTTTCTCTAAAATATAGATTTATTTGATCGGTATTGAGGGATATCATTACGTGAATGTCCTATTTTACCTAATGAGAATTTACATACACATATCACACCATTCCTATGTATTTACATAACATCTAAAGTTTGATATTTACATTTATATCACTTTGGTGCAATAAACCTACCTAAAAGTTTTATTTCACTTTTAAAAGTTAGTAATAGTGACATTTTTTATGTGATGTTTAAGATTTAAGCGTTATATCTGTGCTGGGAGGGGCATGTGATTGGACTCCCCATTGCTTGGCTATTGGGGGTCGATAAAGTTTCATTGTTTTTTTTAAACTGATTCCTATTCTTAATTTGATTTCCATTTCATTTTTGTGTTTTTTTGCTTTTTTTATTTAAAAAATGTAGATATAAGTATGGAAATAAAAGCTGCCAAAATAACCTATGCTGATTGCAGATAAAGTACCATTTAAGGCTATCCATATTATAGAAATCCAAGAGTTAAAGCTATATAGGAGAAACAATAAAGTTCATTTAGCGCAGTAGAGATGAAAATGTTAAAGTGAATGTTTATAAAAATTCATCTTGGAAATGACTAAAAAAAGTTTTTGATTTCTTGTTTATTGAGGAAAAGGGGAAGAAAAATAGATTTCGGTAATTTGAACATTTAAAAACTTCTAAGGTTGTGTTCTAAGTCAACCATAAATAGTTAGGGTAAGACTAAGCGTCCGTTTGAGGCAGTAGCAGCTTTTTACTAACTTGCCGCGCAACTGCTGTCCCAGGAAGCTGTTTGTTTTGTACAACTGTGCAGCAGTTGTTTACGATAAATTTTTTTTTTTTGCTCTGTATTGCTGTGCTATTTATAACATAACCAATTCATGTTGAATAATTAATACATGAAAATAAAAATTACATTCAGAATTCCAAAAAAATCATAAGTTAAAATAATACACCTAAAACTGACATCTTATTTAACAATAAATAACACAACAATCAAAATAAAAAAATAAAACTATTAAAACATTAATTAACATTATCTTGATATTGAATTTAAAATGCACATGGTCAATTTCTCGAGATAATTTCTTCTCCAAATAAACTTTCCGCTCCTGATCACTATCAAAGGTGAAATCGTTTAACTAATCCGCCCACTTGAAAAAGTCACAATCTTCTTCTGATTTCTTCTCCCATAGCTATGCTCTTTTTTGTGAAGTATGTAGTTAACATTGCAATCCACAGTCGCAATACAAGTCTCTAGAGACACCGGAAGACCTTGAGCTCATATTTTCAGAAGGTTTAAAATCACAAGCCAAAAAATAGTTAGATGAAACATTAATTAAGAATAATTGAAAAACATAATTAAAATTCAGCTAATGATAACACTTTATAAATATTAAAGTAGAACCATAAAATTTTGTGTTGGTGGGTCACAACGTCCAATGTATGCAATCTTTTCGTTGTTTGACACACATACTTATATTTGTCAATCAATTGCTCTAATACAATCTTAAGTCATTTATGTAAGATATTAGAGTTACCGCACTTAAGTAAATTTTGGAAAAAGATGAGCACATAAATTTGCCTTAAATTATGACATAAAAAGTTGATCTTGTGAAATCTCTATAAGGGTGCTTTGTAATGTAGGGTGTTCATGTCTGATAACTTTTGAAGATAAACTAATCAGAGTTTCAAACCAATTGAAAAATATCTACTGATTGTTTTTTATGAATGTTGGAATCACTTCATGACTCCTCTCATAGACTAATTTTGTGAAAAAATATAGTGGGGTATAGCTAACACCTCTCTTGAAGACATCCTAGATGGGTCATGGAGTTCATGATTTTTTGTGAAGTTCTTCTAATAGATTAGTTAATATGGCCTATGTCATACAAAATATATTATTAAATCTTATTGGATGACCCATAAGAAACTTCCCATTCCAATTGTCGCTAATGTACGTGGATATCATGCAAGGAGTACGAGCACTATATGAGTTGTAATCCTCATGCATTAAGCATAATACAACTGTAATTTTTCTTTTACATCTTTCTCTTTTCATGTTATTCAATTTTGATGTGGCTAATATATATATAAATAATACTTATGTATTATCAAGTAATAAGTTAAACAAAAATCATGACAATATAAGCCCAAAAATAATGAAGGATTGTAGCACTCATACATAAAAAATAATAAATCATATATCCATATCAATCAAACATAAAACATCAAAAATAACATAAGAGTCATACATCCCAATTTTCATTAAAATAACGTAAATAACTCTACTAGCATGCACTCTCACTTGTTGCACATGCATGATCACGTGTGGTCACGACTTCACCAAATATCAGATCCAATTTTTCTTCAAACTCGGGGTCAATGCCTTTAAACTTGAATTTCTTAGCTTTTGACCCAATCTATAAATTAATTGATAGTTAATATGTTAGATGACTTCAAAAAAATGAAACACACTAAACGCTTATAATTTTTTTACCTCCAATCTCTCAACCTACCATTCTTCTGAAGCATCAATAATTCGTTTTATGAGATCCCAAAATAAGTTCGTGAATTCTTGCTTTAACTCTTTTCATATTTTTTAAACATTTTTTAACTGAACATATTTGTTTTTCACTTGCATTCTATCATATTTTCTTCCAGTGATTTTCTTATTTTTTTAATAATATTCCGTCATCATTCCTTTCTAAAATAGGCGATTCACCTATTTGGTAATTCTACTTCTTTTAGGCAGGGATCGTAAAAGGTTTACTTCACATCTTTATCCAACATAGCAGACGATCCGACTTCTTTTTTCTTAGACATTACTACTAATAGCATGAAAAGAACTAATCAACATAAATTAACCAAGAAAGTAATGCACAACTCCCCAACCCTTTCTCCGCATGACACAAAAGTGATAGTACCCGCACCTGAAAGCCCACACATCAAGCAATGTAACAAAAAATAAACATCTGAAAGCCCATAACTAGCCAGAAAACTAAGAATAAACATCTGAAATCTAGCTAAATAGTTTGCTCTAGGTTAGCTCTTTTTTTCGAACTTAAATTTAACCAGCCATAGTTTTTTCATTCATTTCAATTCAGGGCATACTCATAAATACAACTAAAGGACCTTGCGAAAGTTTTATTAGAACGAAACCATAGAACGTGGGTGAGTGACTATGACAAAGTGCATCTAATTAAACTCATGGATTCATAAACTATGTGTCTCATAATCAACCACTATGACAAAAAGATCGATCAAGAAATTTATGAACTAATTGAAGCATGTAATATATCAAAGTCAGACAACATAGCTGAAACCTCTCAATGGAACAACCTCACATAGCTCAAGAGCAATTACACATGTATTAGCAACATTCCATACACATAGATTTCTACAGATAGTCCTCGAGTTACCAAAGGCAGAAACCACAAGCAACATACAACAAACCAATAGGAATACATCATCAGTCAAGCCCCTCAAAGGAATACACCATCAAGTAAGCCCTCAATTCATAAAACTTTAATCAAACAATTTCATAAAAAAAAAAAAAGGCTCCTCCCTTCATCAGAAAACAATTTAACTAGCCATGCTAACTATGATCATGATGGGGAAATGTCTAATGCAATTTATTGGTTGGTATATGTATGTGTTATGACTTGGTTCTCTACAATGCTTTGACAGTTCAAGTTTTAAGGTTTTGTTCGGGATGCAACTTTGTAATAGATCACTTGTCCCTGTGGAGTTCTTTAAAAAACTCATGAGAAATTTACATTCATACCACACAATTCTTATGTATTTACATATTTAACACACAAAATTTTGACATTCACCTTTTTGCGCCTTGGTGCCATAAGCTCATGCATGAGGAGATGTATTTCAATTTTAAAGAGACAGTGATTATGATATTTTTTATGTGATGTTAAAGATTTTAATGATATGCATGTAAATATGAATGTTTACGTTTTAAATGTGTACATACATAAAAATCTTCTTGTATGTACGTAATGGCCCTAAAACTCAAAATCATCCCACCTACAACCATGCGTAACTCACCCAACCACCCTCACTTAGAAATTGACATCCTTGCTAATGAAGTTATATATGACCTAGGAAGGTGGGATCGAAAGCCGGAGTTATAAGCGCCTATTTCAGCCAGAGCTATAATCCACAATCATTTTAGCTAGTACAACACAATACAGACCACCTCCTCATAAAAAAAAAATCTTTGAACTTCACATGAATTTCACAGGCCATCACAGAAACAATTGATGGCTCATAGACCAAATTTCTCCAAAAAATTTCTCCATCACAGAAGAATCACAAAGAGCAAAAATTGCAGAAAAAATCGAAGTTATTCACAGGAAAATCGAAGGCCATTACAAAAAAAATCCAAGATCATCACTGAAAACATTTCTCCAAATTTCTCCATTAGAGAAAACTTGAAAGCTCGGTGAGACAGAGAAACCACGAGCCATACATAGCAAATACTTCAAAGTTAAATGATAGATTAGAGGACAAAGAAAAACAGAGAAAAAGAAAGCATGAATCAAGCTCTTGCCATTGGTACTGGAGGACGAAGGAAACTGAAGGTAGAAAAAAACCTTAGGGCTCGATTGCTTTCACTCGAGCAAATTGCAGAAATGGGGGGCAGCGAAGGAATTTCATTCGAACAAAACCGCAAAATGAGGGTCTGCGACAGTGCCTAAATTTGAGGGGTGCTTTTAAAATGCACCTCCGCTGAAACCAAATGCGTATGGCGGCATTTTTGTGCGCCCCACAACTAAAAAAGCTTCCCCAAACGGACCCTAATAATGATGTTATCTATGAGCATGCAAAATGAACTAAATAAATCACTGACATGTCAAGGAAAAAGTATTGAAAATCAGATAACTTTGTTTGTAACCCTTCAAAAAGAATATATGAATCAGAACAAACATAAATTCAAAAAGAAGAAACGACCAAGAAGCTACAAAAGAAGGTGAGTACTCCATGGTTGAATCTAATAATATGCTTTGAATCATCTATTTTTACGTATGCACGTCTTCCTTATTATGGATTTTTTCTTAACTAGTTGTTGATAGTGTAAAAATGTTCTTTCTCATATAGTAATGAAGGTCTGCAGAAGAAGAAATTGAGAAGCTAAATTCAAAAATGAAAAGAAAGGAAAAGGATTTGGAAAATGCTATTCAATAAGCTTAATAATGATTAATTATACTAACAATTTTTTTTGGTGAAAGTTGTGTTTGCATGTATTCTTATGCATTTTATGGTGAGTGTAAGCATGTCAGCAATTTTACTGTTGCTCCACTATGGTTGTTTTGAAGCATCCATGGATTCTTTATTCTTTCATTAGAAACCTTATCACGAACAAGTCTCAAACAAACTATTGCATGGATACACTAAACTTTTAAGAAATTGTGTTCATTGGATTGAATCCTTACCTCAAGTCAATCTTGTATATCTTTTTTTTTGCTTAATTATATGATGCTTCTCAAAGATTGATCATTTGTATAAATTTTTGATGTGTTCGGTACATTAGATCCTGAATTTTCTTTACAACTATAGATTCTGTTCAGTTCTTTATAACTTGCAGAGAGTATAACCTATAAGTTATCCCTTAATCCATTGAATGTGGAAATATGTTTTAAGAATAGGAAGTTAGCCTAATTAATGCTGCAGTAATTATCAGGCTTTATTTGATCTTTTTATTTTCTTCCATTTCCATATTTATTTTTTTATGAATTTATGTCTTTTCTTTTATCTGGGTCTTGTAATGTGTATTTATACACCTTTTTCCTATCAATGAAAGCAAGGTGATCTAGCCACAAAAGTTAACAAAGATCATCAAAGATTTGCACATCAAGCAATTTAATTTGATTTCTTGATTGCTCTTGCTATTCAAGTGCCCATGGCTTGCTTCTTAATCTTGTCATTTTTTTCATTGGCAACATGTTCATGTGTGTAGGTCTAAATTTGATGACGATTGTTTGATCAAACTTCACGTTTTGCATAGATGATGCGATTACTTAAATATTCCATTTTTTTATTAATATTTGTGTTTTGGAAAATGTGAATTTTATATTTTTAGAGTTATTTCTTGCCTTCTTATTTATTAGAATTTATTTTCTATTAGTTATTTCGTTACTTTATCTTAATTGCTATCTTTCCATAGTTGGTATTGGCGGGAACTAATCCTTGTTTATTCATTCAATGATATACTGTTTGTGTATCATTGGTTGTTTGTACTCCATTGTGCCAAACTTATTGATCCCTCAACTTACATTCTTTTAATGTTTTATTATCAATGCTTTATCTCATTCTCTATCTCCTTGTTGGATTTATGTTTTCTTTTCGCTTGCAAATCTATTTATTATTCCATGGTACTTGCCCAGAAAGCTGAGCTAAAAGGCTGAATGCCCCCATGATACCCGAGCTACTATTTTAACTTGTATAAAGGATTGTTTGCCAAATATTGATTGTTTGTGTTTAGAAGTAGGCTTTTGCTAATCCTGCTGTCCTTTACCATACAACTAACATAAATCAATTTTATGCATATTTCATTATATTTTTAGTAATTAAGCATTGATTTTATATTTAGATTTATCATAACTTTCTTTTTTCAAAATTGGGTCAAAGTACATCTTCATCATCATCTTGTTGATCCCTAATTGGTTTCATTATTTAAATGTTCCATTTTCATGGCATATATATGTTTTGGTTACTATGACATATACTGCACTTATCGGTGAAAATAGGAATCTATTATTGTCTGTTTAGCCATAGTGCTAGAGGGTCGAAACCTAGAGCATTATGGGATGACTTCAATACTTATGCTGAGAACAACTCCAATTATATTATGTATTGATTTGGTAATATTTATTATCAAATCCAATAACTATGAAACCTTTTTAGAAATGATGAACTCTATTGAAGCTAACTGCTGGGGCAGCCTTATACATCTAACTAGCAATCAGGTTATTGACTATATTTACAAGTTCAGTTGAAATTGCTTCTTCAAATTTATCATCTTTGTTGTGACTAATTTATGCCTAACATCAAGCATGTAATGCTCTAGTTGTTATTATTCGCCTGATACTCATTTTCTTTCATGCATAGATTTTTCCTTTTTCTTTTTTTCTTTTTTTTGCAAAAATTTTCATTGCATTAAGTTAGCTCTTTGCTTTCCTAATTCTGATTAGGACAAAATTGAGAAAAAGGGATTCATGTAGCTGACCCCAGTTAGTGGGATAAAGGCTTGTTGTTGCTGTAAAGTAGAGTGGATAAATACTGGGATTCTGTCAATTCTATAGCTATTTCTCATCTAAGCATATCATTTTTTTCTTATTAAACATTTCAATGATTGTGTTCCGTGCACTGAGTCATCCTAAAAATACATTTGATTTACACGCTCTATATTGGCCATTGTTCAAATTTTAAGAAACTTTGTGTTTGTAGGAATTCATGGGGAGGGTTTCACAGGGGTTATTTCTGCACATCAAATCCATCTTTTCTTACAAGGCAGATTTTTGTTTCACGCATTGCTAAATATCTTTGTCCAAATAAGATTGCTTGGAAATCTATTTTATCAACATCATATTCAACTTTAGATTCGCTGTTTTGGGGATTCAACATGCGTGAAATGCATGGATTAGAAAGGTGGCAACCTATCAGATACAGAAGCAATGCTATAGTGACGGTTGACACTGCTAATAATGTGGCCAGATTTTGTATAGATGAACAAATTGAAAAAAAAGGAGTTCAACAAAAAGGAATGAAGAAGGTAAAGAAGAAAATGTCCCGAAAAGCAAAACTTAATGAATTGAAATGGTATCGCTTAAAAGCTAAGAAGAAGATGAAATCTCCAAATCCAGAAGTTAGGATTCGGTACAAACTCGATAAGGTTGGATGGCTTATGGTTATTCACCTTATGTCAATCATAATTCCTCAACCTTTTTATTTTATACTCTTTGTTATTTCCTTGCTCAGTAACTTGGCCCTATTTGCTCATATCTTGATTGACTTAAAGTTTTCTTTCACTGTCTTAGGCTAAAAGAAAAGAAGAGTGGCTGATTGAGAAACTGCGGAAGTTTGAGATGCCAAAAGCCCCCGAACCAGAACATGACCCTGAAATTCTTACAGAGGAGGAGAAGTTTTACCTTAAACGAACTGGTGAAAAGAAGAAGAATTATGTTCCTTTAGGAAGACGAGGAGTTTTTGGAGGTGTAGTTCTAAATATGCATCTCCACTGGAAGAACCATGAGACTGTTAAAGTAATTTGCAAGCCTTGCAGGCCTGGTCAGGTCTATGAATATGCAAAGGAGCTAACCCGGCTAAGCAAAGGCACTGTGATTGATATTAAAGCAGATAATACTATACTCTTTTATCGGGGAAAGAACTACGAGCGACCAGAGGTTATGTCGCCTCCTGATACTCTCTCTAAACAGAAGGTATGAATTGCCCACATTCTTTCAGCTTATTAGCATTTAACTCATTCACACTTGATGCCAACACTTTTGAGGTTTTTCCTTTTAAATTTGAAGGTTTGCTTTTATCGTGTTAAAAGGCTTTAATTATGTAATGCCTTGGATTTGCTGTTTCTGTAATGAGTTAAATAACTGGCAAGGGATTTGTGGTAACTTCTTGACTAATTTTTTGAAATGTAGCACTAATAGTTGATCAAACTTGAAAGTGCTTCGCTTTTATTTTTGTTTACTATTTTTTATTTTTATTTTGTTTTGTTTATTTTTTGATTTGATTTAAAGTATGTTTGGTGGAAGTTGTTTTTAAAAATAGTCAAAACACTTAAAATATGTTTTGAATGTTTTTAAATACAAGGTCATTTTTTAAAAGAAAAACAAAATAAAAACATATTAAAATTATATTAGCCAAATATGTTTTAAAAAACAAAAGTGAAAACTAAAGCAAAAAATATAAATAAAAGTAATGCCAAATGGGGCCTTAAATTATTATTGAAATGTTAAAAAGCGGAATGTTTACTTTCTTTGCATTGCTTCTACAGTAACTGAGCCTCTGGATTAACTTTTTTTGCAGGCTTTAGATAAGTATAAGTTTGAACAATCACTTGAACACACAGGCCAGTTCATCGAGAAGTTGGAGAAAGAGCTAGAAGATTATCATAAGCACATTGCTGTGTACAAGAACTTGCATGGAACTTTCTCAGACAGCCTTACAGCTATTGAGTAGTGGTTCTGCCTTTTTTGTTAAGGCGAATGTGTACCACTGCATAGCTTAAGCTTGATCCATAAATATTGGTTTAAGCTGAGAACAAGCCAAAAATATCAAATATTCTTCGTGTATTCCATCATAACTTAACTGGAACAAGAAAGGTAACTGTCTTTTTTTACTTCCATTGTTGCATTAATTTGCTATTTTTTCTTGTGAATATTGAATTATCATTCATTATGCAGCAATGTTTAAGCATTCTTTTAATTGTACGAGAACTGGATTTTTTCAATTTTTTATTTTTCCAAGGACTACTATAGCAATCTTTGATTAAACTTCTGAAGCTGTTATATTTTAAGGGAGAGTGGAAAATTGGAATTCTCACGTTTACCTTATTGAGGAGATTACATCATGTTTATATTACAGGATCTTTTGCTATTCAAGGTAATTCTTCCTTACGAAATAACTACATACATTGTAATCTTCTGGCAATTTTATCCAGGAAAAATATGTACAAATCAGGAAGAAATTGCAGCTGATTAATTACAGATTCTAGGAGACTATGAATGAAAAAAACTACAGCTCGGAGGATCCTAGAAGTAATTCCTCAAATTATGAAGATTTACATATTTGGAAGATTTACATATATACCACTCAATTCTTATATACTTACATATCTAACACCTAAACTTCAATGTTTACATATATGCCTCTTTAACTATGCATGAAAAGCTGTATTTCATTTTCACAAAAAGCTGTATTTCACTTTTTAAAAGTTAAAATAGTGGTATTTTTTATGCGATATGAAAGATTTGGGTGATATAAATTAAAAAAAATAAAGTTTAGGTGTTAGAGATGTAAATACATAGGAATTGGGTGGTATGCATATAAAGGCCCCATTTATTTTTCACCTATACTCGATTGCCCATCAGATTGTACAGTTATTTCTGGATTGAGTACAACTAGCCCTCATGACACTTCTTCTCAAGTTAGAGTAGATGTTATTTATGCCTAACTTCATGATGATATTTTGGAATGTGGTGCTTGAAAGTCTATTTGGTTAGGTTCTTAGCTAGTTGCTTGTATAATTTGACATATGTGATACATATGAATGGATAAAAAGCTGATCACTATGAAAATGTTTTATTTGACCATGTTAAATATTGATAGCTGATTTGTTTTCAACTCATTTTTTTGTCATTTAGGATGCTTTAAATTTGTGGTAATTCACATGTTCTTTTGGCCATTGCATGGAATTTAGCTTCAATATTTGATCTCTAGACAAATAATTTTTTCTTATACCATCAATTGATTTGATCTCTTCATATGGTGTGATAGCCAATAGTGAATTTCCTGTTTTGGAAAGGTCTATGCAGGCTTCTAAGCTGAGTACTCGATTTTTCTAACTATGATTACTTTTTATGGGGTTTCTTTGAAAAACTGTAGAGTTTTATATGCAATATGTAAATGATTTTTGTAAGGTTCATGCATGAATTGACTTGGAACACTTACAACATTAGCTATATTTTGCCTTGTGTGGGAAAGTTTAATAAAATTCCCAATTAGTAGTAATTGATACCTTCTTTTGTTTACCGCTGGATTCACACTTGCTTGCTTAACCTTATGATTATAATTCTTTGGAAATTTAGAGGGTTTGCATCTCATCAAATCTTTTTCTTTAAGCAGATCTATCTTCTAAGTGGGTCACATCTATTCCAAATTTGAGTTTGGTCTTCCTAATTTTCAATCGGATAGTTGATTTTGTAATATTTTCAGAATCATCTCTTGTTACAATTATTTCATCCTCAAAACTTATTATAACAATGATTTAACTTGAATATTTTTATGAAAAGAGTGCGGTCTCTTAAACTTTTGCTTTGAAGCTCATCTGTTATATGGCTTTGGTTATAGGTGTTAAATTGGGTTCACGTTATATTGTATTTGGTAATGTATCAACACTAGCCTCCAATTATTCTTATTATTTTTTTTGGGTAATTCTTCCACTTCTTAATGTCAACACCACTTTTGGTTATAATTTTTGACATTTGCCAATAAAGTCAAACCAGGTTATGTAATCAAATTTAGGCTTAATTTGGCACGTTTGGTCAAATCCCAATCAATTAAGATAGGTTAATTAAAACATACAAAACCCTGGTTTGTTTAAAATAACTTAAAACATTCTAAAATGCAAATATCCATTATGCATTCATTTGACCAACCATTTAAAGGTTGGTCGAAGTTAATTAATTAAAAAGGCCAAACATAGGTTTATGTTCAAACAAAAGCTAGACCAACTTAATTAAATCCTATGCATATAGGTAAGGACAAACAAGGAATTCCACATTGGCCATTTTAGCCATGGCACACAGACCAAGCAACATCTCATTACTTGCCTTAGCCAAAATGTGAGAACTAGAAGGAAACACAATGAGATTTCTATGTAGAGCTCTCATTCTCTGTTCTACACTTCTTTATCCACAACCCACTGAAGTCTTGAGAGAGAAAAGATGGACAACAAGTAGGCTTGCTTGAAGCCCTCTTTCTTCTCAACTCATCACAAGTATTCCACCTCCCACCCACTTGGACTCCTTAGAGTCTTTAGGAACAGCTATAAGAAGCTTGGTTTAATTAGATCCTAGGAATTACCCTCCAGTTTCTTGGCCGTCGCCAGCAGCACTACCTCCGGTAGCAGTGAGCATCCCATGCGGTTGCCAAAACCCTTGCTGACTGACACCGACTAGCACCATTGCCCATGTATGTTGGAATGATTGGGACAAACCAGAGCCCCTCAAAATGAGCCCTAAGCAATGGGAAGTAGAAAAACAGTTGCTGTTGGTTCTTAAAGTTAAAATCTGATGGCCTGGATTTTGTTGCATAGCTTTCTTACAACACTGTACGAAGATCATGTGCAATAACAACAATGTCAAATTTTTAAATAACGAATTAGGAGCTGCCACTTTTGTGGGTCCCAGTCCAATCAGCACACTGACTGAATAATTTATTTAGAGGAGTTTTATTAATAGGAATTTTCAAAATTCCCCGAAAGTATAGAAAAATCAGATGAATCTAAAATAGATTTCATTAGGTTTCCGAAATTATCCTTTAAAAAAAAAAATTCAAAATAGCTATCACTTGTATCATTTGCATTTTAAAAAACGAAAGCTTTTAATATTAATAATAGTTACTTCTAAATTGATTATGGATTTAAATGATCGTGATTGAACTTTTACACACTATAAGATCTTACATTACCCATCCATATACATACACATATGCTACCTTTGCACATTTATTATGATGCATTGATTGCGATATAGATTTGAGGGCTAAGTTGTGATAGGATTAAAGCTGTATTTTGTACTATTATTAACATTTTTTAAGGTGACCCTAGGGTAGCAGGTCTTAGAAAAAGATTTTAAATTTTACATTTTGGTTCTATCTATCTTTTATTGCTTTATAATATTTTATTTTTTTATATGGATTACTCTATGATACTTTGCAATTACTATGTTTATTTTTGATGACGATTAGAATATGAGGAGTGCACATTATTCACTTATATGTTTGAATTATTAAAAATAAAAATAACACCGAGCCTATGTTTTAGGAGAACCAATGATTGGACACTTGTTTCATCATGCTGGATATATATAGGTGATATCAGCATCTAGCCTTGCTGATGTACATAATATCATGATTTTATGAATTTGCATGAAGACCAGGACTCATTTTATGATAAAAAAACTTAGATATATACACATCATATATGCACGTGCCTCTCCTCCAGCTAGCCTACTCTAGGGTATGTATGACTTTCTTCTATCTGGGTTTGACTAACCTCTTACACGTGTAACAAGGTAGGTTAGTGGCATTTCTAACTAGGCAGGATGTATTTACAATATTTGGGGCCTTATGGTCATTGGTGTGGCCATGTTATAAGTCCCAACTCTCGGGATTTTTCTACGGTTTAGAGTACTCTCAATTCTAAGTACGGTAAGCCTTCCCAGGATTTCTCCCTTTTTTTGGCTATGTAGTATTAGTATCGTCTATCAGTTTAGGAGTAGGCTCCTGTACATCTTTATTTATACATGGTCCGGACAATATAATTTGTAGTTACTGATAAAGATACTCTGGTTAAAAAAAGTATAATCAGCTTTCCTAGCTAAGTATACTAGGAGCTATGACTTCCGAAACTATGGACAGCCATGAGATCTTTATCGGGGCCATCCCCCTATCCCTTAGGCTAGTTGGTCCTTTTGTTAGGATAGTCATCCCATCTCTTATATTAGAGTTTGTCCTTTATGTTAGTCTACCTCCTTAGGATAGATGTTTTCTTAGATATTTATCTTTTCTTCTAGGCTAGGCAATTTATCCCTCAAGTTAACTTCTTTCTTTCTTGGAATAAGCTTTTTCATATGATAATCCCCTTTCTTTAGATTATCTTTGGTAGGGTTATCCCTCATTGTTCTACTCTGTTTTCTAGTTTATATAGTTTATAGAGCCTCGATTACTTGATAAATTTCTTGAGCTATAATTATGGGCTTTGCTCGTGATTCAAACTTTGTCTGTATTCCGGAATACAAGTTCCTTTTTTTTTGAGGTTTTCTTCCTTGACTTTCATCTTCTTGAGTGCTTTTATGCCAATATTATATTTTTAATGTTAAAGCAAATTGCTTCTCATAGGTAGAAGGATGTCTTTGTATTTAGGACTTTGGATGATTTTTTATTACAATCTTATCATTATTTTCCTCTGATTGGAAGACCTTACTCATGCCCTTCACTGCCTGATAAAATCATGTCCTTCACCACAGGAGCCCTAGCATGCCTTAGAATTTTTTTCATTGTTACCTTTATTATGGATTTCCTGCCATGCTTTGATACTCAATAGATTTTGACTTACATTTATTGTGAGTCCTTACATTCTTCATTGGATGATATCAATTATCATAAAAAAAACACAAGCAAGATTTTTTTATTTTCTTTGGCATCATCTAATATATCATTAACCTTAAGAATAATATTCTTTTTTGAACCTAGAAACTATAAATTCAAAAAAATGGAAACTCTTTTCCGGGATCCAAACCTCTTACATATCTCTAATATCCAGAGTTCATAGAATAGATTTGTCCTATACAAGTTCGCTATTGGAAATTGTTGATATC